TAAAGTCATTTTTGATATTGAAGTTCTTGTGAATCTCTTCAGGAGTTTTCCCCTTGATCATATCAGCCACAGTCTTGCATGTAACATAAGCAAACCTTGGATGTCTAAATGGTTTGCAGCCAGAATAAGTTCAAAGAGTGTTCTTTGGTCAGCTTTCAGGATTCCAGGTGCCATATAGGTGCCTCACCCATTCACTCCTCTGTGTTCTCATCACCCTCGGGAGGCGGAGGCAGGTCGTCTTTGTGGTGGGGGCTCTGCCAAGGGACCTTTCCTAACGTTGCCGCATCAATACTTGGTGCAGGAACTGGGTCATCACCCATTCCCAGATTCCTTACCATGGTCTTGATAGTCACAGACTGGTGGGCAGTTTCATCATCAACTGCAAATATCTCCCCCTCGGAGCCCTGCGGCTTCCTGGCAGCACGGTGCTCAGTGTCCGGGAGAGCGGGGCAGCGTCAGCAGGCGCCTCAGGCGGGAGGCAGAGGACTGGACCGCCTCCACTTTCATTCTTTAATTGAACTCAGTAGAAATCTAGGGCTTTGAGTTACCAAAAGATTTTGGGAAACTGTTTTTAAGTACACATATCATAAAACAATTATTGGAAAGTTTCACCAACAAGCCTTTTGTTTCATTTACATCTATTTAACTTATTAAATTTCTGTAATTATATTTAGATTACTCCAAAATTTTATGAGACATTCGACAAAATTTATTATTATCCCAAGCTGTTTTCCTGTTGACAGGCCCTATAACAGAGATAGCATGAACTTACTTTTTTTTTTGGAAAGGCAGATAAAATAAAAATATTAAGTGTTGCTAACTTTAATAACATAGCTGTTTTAATTAAACCAACAAAAAAATCAATTTTGATATTAAATCTTTTCCCAGATCACATGGTCCTGAAAACTTCTGTGTTAGTTTCTGTTATATTTCTTAAATTATGTAAGTAGTTAAGTAATTTACACCAATTAAACAGAGCTTTTTATATAAACCAATTTTGTTAATTTCCTCTATATAGAGAGAAAGAAGAAATCCAAACAGAGATCAGATCATTTTATATTAAAAAAAAAATGAACAGTGAGACAGGCACAACAAATCACATTAATTTATAACAGCTGGAATAAGTTAGCTTGTTCATTCAAATGGCTAAAACTTTAAGATTTGTACTTGTCCTTGACAACCAATTTTTAAGGAGAGGAGGCTGCTTAGGCAAGGGAGCCCGTTCAGTTCCTTGTGTTTTGAAAGGCTCTCTCTCCCACTCCGGTCTGTTTAGTCTCGGGCAGCTGTGGGCTCTGTTTACATTTCTGATATCTGTAGGAAGACTTTGGAAGTTACTGAGAGGACTTCAAAAAAGTCTCCTTAAACTTTTAACTTTGCCAAGTTTATGATCATAGAGCTATTAGGTTCTTCTAAATTTCTTGTCAGGTTTCAGGCAGGACAAACAGGAAGAAGTTCCAAAGTATCTACTCAGATGGCTCAAGTTCTTTTAGGACTTATTTAGAAGTTATTGTTTCTTTTAAACACTTTTGGCTATTAAGGAAAGAGTGCACCGCATTGTCTCAGAGTGGTTTGGATTCCCTTCCCTTTATGAAATACTTTTTTTTATGACAAACATAACAAACAGAGACAAGAAAAGGAAACAAAGGAGCACAATTAAATGGGTGCCCACCTTTCAGGAAACAGCGCCCCTTTGCTCCTGGGACACCACACCACCTGCCAGGGCCTCCTTCAAGGAGAAGCCCCGTCTCCTCTCAGAGAAAGGCAGTCGACCTCAACCAAAAAGAAGAGGGAGGTCCAAACCGAAGAGGGCTTCGCAGTCAATGAGACAGCGGTCCATGGAAGCGGGGAGCACAAAAGAGGCTCTGCAGGCGTGGGACCCGGCCCAGGGCTGACGGATCGGGAGGGCGCGCCCCGTCAGACCCTGTTTGTGGTGCCAGATGTGCTAACCTAGAGAGTGAAGGCCTTTCAAACTAAGAGGCCACAAGCATCAAAGGACAACTATTCAGGAATCACTGATTCAGGCAGAAGCCCAACTAGTGTTCCAATTAGGAGACAAAGGCGAAGGGTATTCATGGGAAAGGAAGGGGAACAATGACGTCAGTAGAAGGAAGGCATTTCTATTGATGCAAATGTCATGACAGTGATGCTAATTCTAAACAATGTTTTTAACTTTTGGTCCAATAGTCCTAATAACTGCTTTCTTGTTAGCTTTGCAAACAGATCATTGGAGCAAAATGTTGCTTAGGCCCCCTCCAAAGGTTATTTTGCCATTTGAACATCTAAAAGGTTGGAGGCACGAGATGAGCAAGGCAGTTCCTGTGGAGGGGCAGCTCCTGCTCCATGTTAAAGTGGCTCTATTTTTCTATTTTTACAGTATGGCTGATTAAATCATTGACCCTTGGTGACTGGTTCAATCTGCAGCCCCTCCCTGGAAGCCAGGGGGTGGGACTGAAACTTCCACCTCCTCCCATGATGGGTTCTCTTGGCAACCAGCCCCCATCCTTAGGAGAGGCTGAAAGTCACCTTGTTAGCAGAACAAAAGACACCTGTGCAGCTCTTAGCACAGGCAACTCCTAGCTTTTTTTAGGAGCTTTGTGCCAGAAATGGATGAGTTCCTAATATGTATTTATTGTAAATCACAGTATCACCACGGTCCTGGCCTGAAAGAGGGTGTCCCCCACTCCTCCTCCGTCTCGCCGTCATCCCATCGGCCTCGCCTTCGTCCGTCCCTGAGGCCGCGCTCTGGGCCAGGCAGCGTATGGCTGTCTACAGGGGCACCTCCTCTCACCTGGCTTTTAGACCTGGCTTTTTCTAATTTTGCATACAAAAGTAATAACTTAGACATCAAAAGAGCTACATTCTGACCATCTTAAGTTGATGTCACTTGTAGTTAAATCTTTCCTTTTCTGTAAGTACTTGCAAGTAAAAACTTCCTTATTTATTGTGCGCCCGCAGGAGTATTGATGAGGGATGGGGTCTGGGAGCTTCTGGCCTTGGAGACACAATTTCCCATGCTGATTTCAGTTTTATTTTGAGATCTACAGAGTCAGAACAAAGTTCTGGGGATACTGTGCAGTGGGTTGAAACGTGTTGTTTGTGGGTTGAGCTTCAAGGGCTGTTCGCCTCCCCCGTCACCTCAAACCCTCGTACGTGTCTCGGTGTCTCTCCCCGGCCATCTAATACAGCCACAAGGACTCGGAGCGCCAGGTAACCAACCTTCCTGTGCGCATGCCCTGGCGAGTCAGGTATTTACAGTTCAGTTGGACTCCCTGCAGGGCTCCCGCCCATCGTGGGGGCTGCCCCCTGGTGCCTCCACGGAGATTCGTAGTTGCCTAAGAATATCCGAGATTCCAGCTGGAGAGAGGAAGGGCTCCTTTTTTCGGGGGCCAAACGAGTTCAGGTTCTCATTTATCCAGCAAAAGGCTTTGTTCAGATACTCAGAAAGCAATTCCAATGGAAAAGCCAAAGTTTGAAATCAGCCGCCCATTTTTTTTCTTTTGTCTTTAGTTATCTCAACCTTTATCTTTAGCCTCTATTCTCTCAATCCTTAACCTTTAGCTTCACCTCAAGGACTTCAAAAAAAACCAGTTCAGCCCTGGTTGATGTAGCTCAGTGGATTGAGTGCCAGCCTGCAAACCAAAGGGTCGCTGGTTCAATTCCCAGTCAGGGCACATGCCTGGGTTGTGAGCCAAGCCCCCAATAGGGGGCGCACGAGAGGCAACCACACATTGATGTTTCCCTTTCTCTCTCCCTTCCTTCCTTCCCCTCTCTCTAAAGATAAATAAATAAAATCTTTTTTTAAAAAACAGCTCAAACTAAGTCAAGTCAGCCTCTTACTTTAAGACAGGTAGGTCCAGAATTCCAAGAAAAGCTCCCCCAAGTCTACCTGATGCAAAGCGAGGAGCCAGTGGCTCACGATGGGCCCCCGCATGGGCCCCTGGCACGGGTCCAGGTCCACAAGGTGGTCCCGGGGGGCTTCTCTGGAATCCTGCTGCCCTACACCAGGACAAGACATTGTGAGTCACAGCAAGACATTCCAAGTCACACACCATCAAGGTCCTTGTAAGACCAAAGTCAGAAATTGAAGAGCAAAGGGAGAGGACGAGGGTCTCTCCAGAAGAGGTGGGAAGCGGCTCTGAGTTTCCTGGCAGCCAGGGCAGAGAGGGAAACAAGCAACACTACGGCACACTCTAGGACAAGCAGGGGACAGACCCGCTCGGGGAGGTCATTTTGCCTGCTGAGGGGGGAAGCTGTGAGTGTGCTTGTTGCCACAGAAGTGGCCCCAGGCCTTCGGCATTCAGGCGTTGCTCCCTTTCGAGCTTCTGTGGTCCCGGGAATGGCGTGCTGCCAGGGATTAGAGAGTATAAGAACCTGAGCTCATTACTGCCTCCACCAGGTGACCCTCGCGAAGCAATGTCCCCACTCAGTGTGAAATAATTTTTGCCACTGGAGTGGGCAGAGCTGAGAGCATTTGTTGAGAGAATGAAGGCAAAAGTGTTTCTCCCGACTCTTGTCGCCTCCTGTCTGGGCACCGAAAGACCAGCCAAAGAGGACGTTGTGTTCTAAGGGCAACGTGAAGGCGGGGGCACGCAGGCCTCAGCTGTGGGTGGGCGCCCGGGGGGGCCATGGCAGAGGCTGCACTGAGTGGCCTTGGGCCGGGGACAGAGGCCGGGCCTGAGTTACAGCCCTTGGGACAGAAACGTTCATTTCGAGGCCAGCTTGCCGAGCCAGGGCGGCGCCAGGCGCGGCCCCGTTTAGGCTGTGCGGAGCCCTCTGAAGCCACGCCATCCAGATGAGTGAAGGAGTGCGGGGAAGGGGCTGCTCCTCGGGAGGGCGCAGGGCGTCCCCCTGCCCCAAAGCCATCTCCTCCCTGCCCCCTGCGTTGGACGCTGCGCAGAGGGGAAGCCGGCAAACAGCATGCTAATGCCCTGGGGCCCGGGCCAGGCCAGATCCCGCCTGAGGACGCAGCCTCGTGTACACTGCAACCCCTCCCCCCGCAGAAAGTGGGCTGTGACGGGGTCATCGGCTCCAGCAAGCAGGAGGACAAGTGCGGCGTGTGTGGAGGGGACAACACCCACTGCAAAGTGGTCAAGGGCATGTTCACACGCTTGCCTAAGAAGCTGGGTGAGTGAGCCCCACCTCAGGTCCTGCAGCCTGAATGCCCACAGTGCCCGGTGGGAGGTCGTGGATGGGGCTTAGCCCTGGAGCTCTGTCTGGGTTCCTGACTATTCTGGAAGAGGGAGGAGGTGGGAGAACCTAAGCCAGGACAGCCTGAGCTAGGCCCCAGGCTGCGTGGGGGACAGGGAGTGTGAGTCGGGGTGAGAGGCCCGGGCACAGAGGAAGCCAGGAGGGGGGCCTGCTAAGGGTGCCCCCCGCCACCTAGGGCTGTGGGGCAGCGGTGGGTCCCTGGGTCCCTGCCCCTTGGGCATGCCCCCAGCTGGCTGTCTGCAGGGTCTCCCTGCGTGGCCAAGGGCAGGCCGCCACCTCCCTGGCGGGCAGTCAGGGCCCGTGCAACATGGGCTGCGGGGGCTGCTGCTGAGGACGGAGCCCTCCACGCCCGTCTGCGCCCAGCGACCCCTCTCCTCTCACCCTGACAAAGGCTACGTGAAGATGTTTGAGATCCCGGCAGGAGCCCGGCACCTGCTCGTCCAGGAGGCAGACCCCGCCAGCCACCACCTGGGTGAGTCTCGGAGCCCAGGGAGTGGCTGCTCCACAGCCCGGCTCCTCTGCGGATGCGCAGAGCCCCCGGGGGGCAGAGGCCCGACTGGGGCCCTCCCTGTGCCCAGCTCAGCCCCGCATCCTCGTGGACCTTTTCCGGGTTCACTCCTGGTGAAGAGGCCACGCTCTTGGATGGCTCCTGGCAGCGGCTGTGGAGAGATGTGTGTCACAGACCCCCAGCCCACAGGACGAGGACGCCCCCTCTCAGGGCTAAAGGGGGCTGCCCCCTACCTCCTGGAAGGCAGGCAGGTCTGCAACAGCCCAGTGCTGCCTGGGCAGCCGCCCTCAGCCCAACCACCGGGCCAGAGGCGGGGCTGGGGGGGGGGGGCGGACCGGGGGGAGGGGGCAGGGAGAGAGTGTAGCACAGCCCCCTGCTGTGTATTTGCATATTTTCAATAAGTGTAATTTTAAATTCCTGAGATTCCACCTACAGTAGAGATTTCTGGTCACTCTCAAAATGTCAGATGTTCTAACAACCTGGGTGCTCTGTCCCATATGGCAACCCCTGTGGGGACCCCTTGCAGGGGCTCCCCATGTCCCCACTCCTTCTCCAAAGGCCTCTGGGCCCAACCTCCTGGGTAGGCGCGGGCCGAAAGTGATGCAAGGGGCCGCTGCAGGGACCCAGGGCAAGTCCCTTCCCCCAGTTCGGGCCCCACCTTCTCCCCTGCCCAGTGGAGGTCCGGGCAGGGCCTCCCATCCAGCATCACTGCTCACACGTAACAGGGACCACTTTTTTTTAATGCTCATTTTTCTTTCTTCCTCATTATAAGAAGAAACTCTATATGGCTACACAAAATGCAAAACCAGCACCGCTTGCCTTAGACAGAAGGCAAATATAAGAGTTGGTTACTGGGAAAAAAGATAAGAAATACTGCTAGAGACTCCAGGCTGCAGGAGAGGAGAGAGGGCGCAGGCCGGCTGAGGGCCTGTGACCCCGCGGAGGCTCGCTTGGTGATGTGCACAGAGGTTCGAGGGCCCTCGTGCAGGGAGCTGTTTCCTCGCCCCGTGCCCTGCCTGCGGGCTCCTGAAATCATCCAGCAGCTCCCCAGTGCCTCCCTCCCCGTGGCAGGGAGCGCGCGGCTTCCTGACCAGCCAGGTTCTCAGCTCCCAGTCGTCCTTAGAGGGTGACCAGGAGCCTGGGTGACCCCCTGTCAGCCCAAGCCTCTTCAGGGGGTGTGGAGATTGGGGGGCCCAGGCTAGGCCACTGTACAGAGTGGGGATACCCCGATTGTCAGCTGCACAGATGCTCACCCCACGGCAGGAAGCCCCCTGCGGCCCTGCGCCCTGGTGTCCGGCAGATGCCCCGCCTCCGGGGCGCTGGGGTGGGGCGGCCGTGGCTCCGAGGGCCTGGGCAGAGCTCCAGGGGGCAGCAGGGAGGCGGCCCTGACGGCTGTGCAACTGCTTCTGAGCGGAGCCCCGGCACCCCCAGGGCCTGTGGGGGCAGAGCCGGGAAAGGACCCCGGGCCTGGCGGAAAGGCCCGCGTTCCGGCGGAGTGGCGGGGGCCGGGCCCTCGGGCAGTGTGGGCTGCCTGTGGCAGGGACAGTCCCCGCCCCGGCCCTAACCAGTGCGCTCCGCCAGCTCCCCCTCCCACCGCATGCCCGGGTCTCTCCGTGGCGACCGTGACGGGGGCTCCCTTTGGCCATTTTCAGCCATCAAGAACTTGGAGACGGGCACGTTCATTTTAAATGAGGAGAACGACATCGATCCCAATTCCAAATCGTTTATCGCCATGGGCGTGGAGTGGGAGTACCGGGACGAAGACGGCCGGGAGACGCTGCAGACCATGGGCCCCCTCCGCGGCTCCATCGCCGTGCTCGTAAGTCCCGGCCAGGGCCCGCGGCCGCGGGGCGAGGGAGGGGCCCCGCGTCCTCCCGGCAGGCCGTGCTGCAGCGGCCCCCCGACCTGTCCTTTGGGCCAGGCACCGCCATCTGTGTGTCAGAGGGAGGAACAGAATGCAGCCGCTGGGGGACTCTGGCCCTGCGTCGCCCTCTGGGGCACCGTGAACAGACTCTCCCTTGCAGAGGTGCTGGCTTCCCTGCCGGCTGACGTTTACAGCCACCTTTTATCATGGTCCTTCACGTCTGTCATCAAACCCAAACCCTGCCACACCTTGCAGGGACAGACGGGGCTCAGGACATTAGGCCACCAGACCTAGGTCACACTGGACTTTGTCCCTGAGCAGGACTGGACCCCAGGGCTCCGGAATCCAAGTCCACAGGCTGCTCCTGGTTATGGGAGTACAGAAGAGTCTTTATTTTCTAATCACTTTTTAAAAAGTAATTTTAATTGCAAAAGTGACATATTTTACCTGTACAAAAATCAAAATGCTACAGATAAGGCTGAGGGGAGCCCACCGTGGGGGCCCAGGCCCCAGCAGGCCATCTGCGGGCTGCCCTCCCTCCCTTCGCCTGCAGGAACTGCCCCCCGGGTGGGGCCGGTGACCCGCCGGCCAGGGCACGCGCAGGGGGGCCTCGGGACTGCGCGTCTGCACTGGCCAAGTCCCCGCTTGCTGGAATTGGCCTGCAACCCCCAAATCAATACTCGAAGTGCTTTTCACAGTTATTTGCAGACAAGTGCAGAGCAGTGGAAAATCTGTCACCTTGACATGCTTGTTCCCGCCAAGGTGGAGCCAGGCGACACTCTGCTTTTGGTTTTAGCTCCTACTGTTAACGAGTGTCCTTTTCAAAGTGCATTTAGTGCCCATTTTTCACATGTTTATGCATTAAGGGGGTTCGCTGTTGAATATGGCCCTGGGCGGACGCTGCAACTGCTGGGCGCTGTTGCCCAGAGCGAGGCTCGGTGGCGCCCTGGGGGCCGGCGCAGCGACGCATGTTCCTTCAGGCCTGAGCTCCAGGGCGCCAGTGGCAGGGAGCCGACAACATATATTAAGTAAAGTGTCTTTTAACACAAAGATGCATAGAATAAGATTACCTACGGAGAGCGACTAAAACGTCGCGGCCATAGCCTCGCAGGACCCTAACTCGGATCCCTGCGAGCAGTGGCTCGGTGCTGGGGACTTCCTAGAACGTAACGACCCTGAGTAACGAGGCTGGACTGCAGGTGCACCCAGCTGAGCTTTCCAAACGCTCCATGGCCGTGTGGGGGCGCAGGTAATCCCACAGGGGGACACCCGGATCTCGCTGACGTACAAGTACATGATCCACGAGGACTCGCTCAATGTGGACGACAACCAAGTCCCAGAAGATGACTCTGCAGGCTACGAGTGGGCCCTGAAGAAGTGGTCCCTGTGCTCCAAGCCCTGTGGCGGAGGTGAGGGGGCTTCGCAGGGTGGCAGCCCCGGAGGGGGCCAGGGGCTAAATGGGAAGGGTCTCTGGGTGGGGCGCCCTGCTGACTGCCGGCCAGAGGCACGTGCCAGGCCTGAGAAGACTGGCCCCAGGGGCCAGGGAGGCTGCGGCAGTGGCCGGTGCCCAGGTGTCAGCGGCCAGCCCTGCCTGGGAGGGAGTGGGGTGCGGGGGAGGCGCTGGGGCAGCAGGCCAGAGGCAGCCCGGGTGCATGCGTCGGGGTCGGGGGACAGGCGGACGCCAGCGGGAGCCGGGCCAGTCGAGGAGGCGGGAGCGGGTGGCTGGGAGGAAGGCCTGGGAGGGTTGCTGCGGCATCGTGAGGCGGGGCGCAGGGCAGACCCCGGCAGCGCTGGCCGAGGGCGGGCTGCGCCTGCGGACAGTGTCCCCGGCCTCCTGTGGAGCCTCCGCAACGCCCTCCTGCTGACCCCTGCTTTTATGTGTCTCATGGACCCGCCTGCTCTTCCCATCTTCCCAGTCCTGGCGCCCGCCTTGCTCTGTCCCTGGCCTGTGGGTTCACTCACCCCCACAGTGACCTGTGAAAGGAGCAGATCAGACCCTGTCCCTCCCTGGTGTCATAGTCTTCAGCAGCTCCCTCTGCTCTTAGAATAAAACCAAAATTCTCCTCGTGGCCTCCGAGGTCCAGGCAACTTGCTGACCTTGCGCACTAATCACCAGGCCTGGGTCTCCCCGGTCGTCAGCGCTTCTGCTGGGCACACCGTGCTCCTGCCTCCGGGCCTTTGCAGGGGCTACCCCCCGGGGGCCCTCCCCTACCTTCCCGCTAGACAAGCACTCCACCCCCACCTCCTGTGAGGCCTCCAGACGCCCACGCCAGGTCAGGCTGTCCCACCCGCTGAGCTGGGGCGCCGTGACCCTGGCACTGCCGACACCTTGGACTCTATAACCCTCTGCTGTGAGCTGTGCTGGCGTCGTGGGTGCTGGGCAGCTCTCCCAGCTAAGACCTGCCGAAGCCCCCAGCCCCCCTCCCCTGACTGTGACGACTAAGTGTTCCAGACATCGCCAGATGTCCCCGGGTGCAAAATCACCCCCTGACTGTGGTAGGAGGAAACTTGCAGGACGCGTTGCCATGTTTAGGCAACTGCTGGGTCATGCCAGGTCCTTGGTGCACGTTAATTCAAGGAGGAGTAAATAGCTAAGCGATGGAAGAGGAAATGACACCCTCCCCCTGACCCAGGAGGCCAGCATCCAGCCTAGGGTGCTGGGGGGACACCCCATTAGACATCTCCAAGGCCCAGCTTGGGCACACTGCCCCACCTTCCACCTCCCCCCATCAGAAAGTCGGGAAGAACGGGGCTGAAGCTGCAGGTGAACCTGCCCCTTTGAGCCCCTGGAGGGGCCACTCCGCCCCACTGAGCCCCCTCGAGCTCTCATCTTCAGGGTCCCAGTTCACCAAGTATGGCTGTCGCCGGAGGCTGGACCTCAAGATGGTGCACCGAAGCTTCTGCGAAGCCCTCAAGAAGCCCAAAGCCATCCGCCGGGCTTGCAACCCGCAGGAGTGCTCCCAGCCCGTGTGAGTGCCTGGGCTGCCCAGCTCCCTGGCTCCCAGCCTCTGGGTCCCGCCAGAGGGAGGAGAGGGCAGACCTCCTGGGGCCCCAGTGGGAGGTCGTAAGGAATTGGGGCCCCCGAGTGGCTCCAGACTTCACAGGCCAGCAAGTCTGGGAGGCCCCGCCCCCGCTCCGACTTGCAAAGCTGGAGCACTAGTCAGAGATGCCAAGTGATAGTGATACTGCTCAGATGGGGAAACTGAGGCTCAGGGTGCAGGGCTGGCCTCTGGTCTGGTGGGAGGGGTTTCCAAGGCAGCCTACAGCACCGGCTGTGTCCTTCCCCCAGCCCCAGGGCCTGGCAGTGTCGGGGCCCTGGGCGGGGAAGGTGGTTGGTACGAGGCGGGGCCGTGCGGGGACAGGTGCTGCCTAGGAGACTCGATGATGTCAGCAGAAGCTGAGGGCGGAGGGCAGAGCCAGTGCCACAGAAGGGACGGAGGCCGACAGGGTCCCTCGGGCCTGGGCTGTCCATGGCCGCCCCCACAGGGCTCACCGCAGTGGACGTGTCTAGGGTTCCTTATATGCAGGACCTGGGTGGGGCAGGCGCGCGGCGAGCCTGGGTGCAGCTTTGTGAGAATCGGGAAGCCGTGCCTGGGGGCACAGGGGGCCCTCTCTCTGCCCACGGAGGCCACGGGGCCTGACCATGTGCCCCTCGCCCTGGCAGATGGGTCCCTGGTGAGTGGGAGCCGTGCAGCCAGAGCTGTGGGCGGACAGGCACCCAGGTCCGCTCCGTGCGCTGCATTCAGCTGCTGCACAACAACACCACCCGCTCCGTGCACACCAAGCACTGCAACGACGCCCGGCCCGAGGGCCGCCGGCCCTGCAACCGCGAGCTCTGTCCTGGCCGGTGGCGCGCTGGACCCTGGTCCCAGGTAAGTTGTCCCCCTGGCCCCTGCCCGGTGTTCTCGACCCCCAGACCAAGCTTGGGTGGGACCAAGGTGTCTGTCGGGGTGCAGTTGGAGCCATGGCCACGTTCTGTAGGTCTGAGGGCACCGGTGGTGACAAGCAGTCAGTGCTCTGGAGTGTGTGTCCTTGGGGCCGGGGCGCCCCCGTGCTCTCAGTGCCTGGAATCCCAGGAGCCTGAGCGCAGCCGGGGCTCCCGGTTCCTCAGAAGTCCTAGGTTCTCAGTCCAGAAGGCCAGCCAAGCTGGCAGGAGGGGACACAGACAAAGGAGGGCTCAGGCTCAGGCTGGGAAGAACAATGAGGGTGGTCTCAGGGACTAGGGAGCAGCTCTGGGGACAGGGCTGAGCTGAGCCCAGCACACAGCCCGGACCAGCCTCGGGGGCGCCATTCACCGGAAGGACCACAGGCACAGGGAGCGGCGCATGCGCGGCTGTGGGTTCTGACAAGGAGCACTCAGAGCTCAGTCAGGGGGAGAGAGAAGTATGTGGCCAGGGCCAGGGGGAGCCCAGCCCGTGCCTCCAGGTGCCCCTTCCAACGCGTTCATCAGGGATGCACCCAGCTCTCCCAGCAATGACGTACGACAGCACCCAACGGCCAACCTGGAAACCCACCCGGCCTGGGCGTCCAGGGTTCCCCTCGGGGGTCAGCCCTACAGGCCCACGGTGCCTGCATGTGATGGTGGTAGTTACGGAAGCTCCAGGCCCAGCGGCAAGGCAGGTGCTCGGCAGGGATGCCGCTGCCACTGTCACCTGACTGGCGCGGCACAACCGCGGGCCTTGGGCATGGAGAGCCGTCTTACTGGACAGGACGTCCCACAGACTCGGCTTTTAGGAGCTGCCCAAGGGTCAGTCCTGCAAAGAGGCCTTTTTGGCTGAATCAACCATTTCCCACCCACAGGACGAGGACTTGAGGATTGTCCTCGGTCAGGGCTGGGCCAGCTGTGAGCCACGCCGGGTGTCTGGGTGTGACTGCCGGGCCCAGTGCCTCCCTGTGGAAAAGGCGGGGCAGGGTGGGGAGCCGGAGGCGGCCAGAGGGGCCATCGCGGGTGCCGGTCGTGTAGAGCCTTGTGTGTGGGGAGAAGGGGAGGAAGGGGAGGGGGCTGGTCATCTGCCAAAGCCTCCCGGACTCAGCTTTCCCAGGGGTCTCTGGTGCACAGCAGGTTTTCCTGGGTCTTGAGCCTCCTATAGCCAGAGCGTTCAGAAAGGCCAGGCCCTGCATAGCCGCTCTCTGTTCCTCACAGTGACTCAGACATAAGCATGTGTGTCCCCTCCTCAGAGTCCTAGGAGGCTGAGGCGGCTGCCCGCGGCCTCAGGGAGGCCGGCACGCCCTCAGCCCACGCTCTCCCCCGCCCCTCCCCACCTCCCTCGTGTTGTGGGGTCACCTGTGAAGGAGGCGCTTCCAAGCCCAGGCCGATTGGGCCCTGACTGGTGTCCCTCCACCTGCAGTGCTCGGTAACCTGTGGCAACGGCACCCAGGAGCGGCCCGTGCTCTGCCGCACAGCAGACGACAGCTTCGGGATCTGCCGGGAGCAGCGACCTGAGACGGCGAGGACCTGCAGGCTCGGCCCCTGTCCCCGTAAGCCCTCCGCTGCCCTGACCCCTGGGCCCCAGCATGCGGGCCCGGAACTGGGGAGGGAGTGCGGGGTGGGGCTGGTGCAGGCAAATGCCCTTCCCACACGGGGCCCGGACTCGGCATCCCTGACCTTGAGGTAGAGGCTGAGCCCTCCCGGTCGGGCCCAGTCCCTTTCCCTCACGGGGGACAGAAGGAACTGCTCCTCCCCAGGCCGGGCCGGGCCCAGCCCAGCCTTCCTGACACTGCCCATTGGTCTGGGAGATGGAACCAGACTCACAGCAACCAGAGCGCGGGGCTCAGCCAGACAGGTGCCCTGTGTCCTGCTCAGAGAACGACCAGAGCACGAGCTACATGCCGACACCTTGGCAAGTGCCGGGCACGTGACCTCTTTTGGTCCCTGAAACAGCTCGAGACATAGATCCCAGTATAAGTTCCATCTACAGAGAAGGAGCTCAGGGGGGTCAGGCATGCCCGCCCAGCTGTGGGGAGGGGTGCTAGGTCCAGGCACACCCGGTCCCTGCGTTCCTCGGAGCGGACCGGAGCGGCGCAGGGGTCAGGAGGCCGGCCACAGCCCTGTGCCACAGCTGACGCCCGGGGTAGGGGAGAGGCCGGAGGCTGGCGCCCCCTCATCACAAGGCAGAGCTTTCAATGCCCTCCCGTTGACCTTCCCAAGGACACAAGGGTCTCTGGAGCAGGGGACCTGGCCGGGGGACCCTGGCCTGGTGCCTCAGCCGCTGCAGCCCCTTTCTCTTCCCTCCAGGAAACACCTCTGACCCCTCCCAGAAGAGCTACGTGGTGCAGTGGCTGTCCCGACCCGACCCCGACGCGCCGGCCCAGAAGACTTCGTCAAGTAACCGGCCCGTTTATAACTCTGCCTCTGCCCTCCAGTGCATGCCCTGCGCCCTGTGGAGCTTGCCCTGGGCTCCCCTCCTCTCTCTCTATGGAAAGCTCCCCTGACTCTCCCCGAGGGCTCTGGCTGAATCTGTCTTCTCCGGGGCCTCTGTGCTCGACCGCCTCTTCCGGAGCCGCCTGGCTGCCTGGCCAGGAGGGCCAGCCACAGAGGCATGGCCCGGGCGCTGGCCTCTTGCAGAGGGGCCGGGACCTGGTTGGTGATGGCTTGTAAAGGGTCAAAGATCTGTCATGGTGCTGGAGGGGCCAGAGGCCAGGGTGTGAATGTGACCACTTGGTGACTGCCTCGCGGGGCCACAGCCCTCCAAGCTGGAGCTGCGGGTCAGAAGCCAAGGGGCAGCCCGCCCGCCCCCTTTCAAACGCGCCCGCCACCGTGAGGCCGGCGTCTCGAGGCCTGTGGTTTTGTGCTGCTGTGCGGGGTGGCCCGGCCCGAAGGGTCCAGCGGTGTATCAGGGGCTTCCCGCTGCCTCGCTGCTGCTGCTGCTGCTGACCCTGTGCTCAGTGTGTCCTCCCGACTCGTGTGACTGTGGCTGCTTCCTGTGGCCCTTGTGTCCGACTCACACAGCCCTTGCCCCCATTCCCCGACTCCCCGGGCGGGTTCGGGTCAAACGGAGCGGGGGGATGTGTTCTCCAGTGGGACGTAGGGACACGCCACCTCTCCCACTCTCTGTCCATTAGCTCCAATGGCCTTTTCTCATCGTGTGCACATGACCCCGTCCACAGGGGTGAACGAGTGAGTGAGAGACTGTCTGACGTGGGTGCGGCCACCTGCCAGTGTGAACAACTACAGAATTACCTCAATTTTTATTGCTTTTTTGCTTAGACAAAACTATGTAGAAAATGCCTTAAAGTTGAAAGGTAACAGAATTGGCTGCTAACTCCAGCTTCCGCAGGGATGTGAGCCAGGTAGGAGGCCGGCAGTGCAGGTGCGGGGCAGGCGGTCTGAGTTGCCCACCGGCGGCCAAGGACAGGGTTTCCCAGGCAGGTGGCCTGGCCGCCTGGGGCCCTCAGCCTGTGTTCCCAGGCCCCGGTGTGGGAAGGGGACCCGCTGGCCAGCGGGCGCTGTTGCCGGAGCCCTCGCGGGCGTTCCCACAGCTCTGCCTTACTCCAGAGGGCAGCGCGCGTGGCCCCTCGGTGACCCGGGTCGCACCCCCGCTGCCACGCCCCCCCGCACCCCCGCGCTGTCCACCTGTGCATAGCACCCCGCCAACCCCGCCCGCCCTCCGGCGCTGATTACTGTTATGTAAATACTCGGTGTGTAACGCGTACTAACTCTCACGACTGTTAACTCCCACCTTGGACCAGGCCGTGCGAGTGACACGAGCGACTCTGGGGAGGTGCAGGACGCTCCTGGGCATTGTTCTCTCTGTCTATATGCACTTTGGTTTATCAGGGATATTTTACTAGTGTTTTGTATGTATTTATGACGTATTCTATCGGTTCCATTGTCGTTGCTTTTCTGGTATTTTTATGAGACCACGTGAGTGTGTGCCAAAGTGACTGTGAAAATGACCTTTTATTCTTACTAATGCTGGAAAGACTTCCTGTCATGCAGCCCACAAATAAACTCAATAAAAGTTCAGTGAAACAGGGTGCTTGGGCTCGGCCCGCTGCTGGCTGGCTCCTTCTGTCCTCTCCCCGGCCAAGGGCACCGAGCCGCGGGTGCCCTTCTGTCCCAGCAGTTCCTCGGTTTCTGATTTGTGTGCCTTTACTGTCCCCTCTCCCCTGCCCAGTAGAGATGTTTAGAGATGTCCCTCTCCCCCCGAGGCAGCTCCCCGCCCCTGCAGAGACACTCCGCATGATCCTGTGCTCTGGATCGTTCCAGCTAAACAAGCACCTCCAGGAACGTCTGGGTTCCCTCCTCCTTGCCGATGCTCTTGTGGGAAGAGAGGGGTCAGAGCCCATGGAGTGGAAATGGGCGGTCAGTACCCGAGACAGGGCTGGTCCAGGTCACGGTCACCAGGCTTGGCCACCGTCAGGCCACCACCTGGCTCCTGGGGCAGCCCTCAGCTCTCTGTTCAGGAAAGGAGAGGTACCCATGCAGCTCAGGAGTCTGGATCAGGAGAAGGCAAGGCAGCGGTGGCTCTGGGCCTCTGGCCTGCGACACTCACGGGCACGTGTGCTCAGCTGTACCTGCCCATGTCTCCTGAGGCCTGTGTTTATTCACTCCCCTTGCCAACAAGGACCAGACAGAAGGTCAGGGTCCAACAGGGGCCTCCTCATCTGGGTCTGAATGGTGCTTTGCCAGTAGGCATCTCTCCTTTCCTTTTCCTGTGAAGGGGTCCTACGTCAGGAGGTAAGATCATGAGAAAATATGACATGGACCACCCCACCCCATGGATGTGGGCTTTGGGGCACAGTGCTGAGCCCCAGGGGTCCATTTGCAGGGTAGGGGTCATGGTAGCTGTGGCCCTTGAAAGAAATTCCAGCTCCAGAGACACAAGGAGACCAAGACAATGTCGGATGGAACTGTGTCCGCTCAGTCTCCTTTCCAGGACAGGTCAGGAGCAGCCCCCACTGCGGTGGGCCCAGCTAGAGCTGCAGGCAGCCCAGAGTGCTGCGTGCCCCAGAAGCCACAGTGATGGAGGGCGTGGGCAGCCGAGGGCGGCCTCCCACCTCTTTAATTTGTCACACAGTCTCTTGAAAGGAGAAATGGTATATGATGCTTGACCAAGAAAAAAGAATGACGTTTTCTCCATCCCAGTCTTCAGCCAGCCTTCAGGGGACAAAGGTGATTTAGGTTGCTTGTCAACATAGCCGAGCGCCACACAGTAGCCTGTCCTCGTCCTGTTGTCCCTGACGGCCACCTCAGATAAGCCTCACCTGCACGCGTGCCGGCATCGCTCACAGCACGCTGGCTCCTTGCTCTCCGACTCCGCCCTTTGCAGCCAGGAATACCTTCCCAGAACAGGAGGAATTAACTTTGGACTTACAAACTGACTTAAGAGGATATAAAACTTGTCTTTGTATCTTGGTTAGGGTAACCTTACTTACCACACTAGTTTTACATGAATGGTAGTACTATAAAATTTTCTTCTAACATACATTTCAGTTAAGAATTAAAAGAGTTAATTTAAAGGGGGAAACTACTCAGCAAATAATAACACAGGTAGGTATTCAGATACAGCCAAAATTGTACGAATGGCACACAGATGACTTCAATTTCTGAAAAATGGGTTTGCTGCTGGGGGGTTGTTTGCTGGAAGGCAGTCGGCCTCGCCAGCCCAGGGCTGCTGGAAATGGCTGAAGATCAAGGATCACGAACCGGAAGTGACGATCTTGGCCGAGGTCAGTCGGTGTCACTCAGCCTTCGGTGGCATCATTCCATCTTCATCTCAGAGGGCTGTCTGCTCAGTGATGCTACTTCAAAATACACATCCATTGATGTCCTTTCAAGACTGGTGGGTCATGATTATTTTGAAATGTATCTAGGCTGAAACTAGCCTAACTAAGCTCTTGGCCAGTAGCTTTCTCAATTGTTTGTTCATTCATGGACTTGTTTCAATTTAAAAATACTTACAACACTGCTTGAAGGAAATCAGACCCAGAGGTCCAATATCTTAGCCAGGTGGAAGGGAGGCACCCTGGAGAGGGAAGGCCGGCCCCGGCTGTGTCCAGCCCGTCTGGGAGGAGAGGACCGCTGGTGCCAACGGGTCCATGGCCCAGCCGCTGTGCCGAGTGTTTTCTGTGTCCAGCTTTGACCCAGGCCCCGGGACTCCACCAAGCACCTCACCAGAAGTCGGCAACTTTTTCTCTAAAGGGCCAGAGAGTAAATATCCCAGGCAACGGCGGCCATGTGGTCTCCCTCGCGGCCACTCAACTGTGCCTGTGTAGCGGGTGAGCGGCCGGAGATGATGAGTGAGTGGCAGGCCTACTGCAGTAAAACCTTATCGACAAAACCAGGTCGGGGGGCTCGCTCGGACAGAGGACGAGGCGGGCCAGCCCCTGCCCTTGGCTGTTGTGATGCCTGCGTCTCAGGGTCCCGGCCTGGCGGGAGACCAGTGAGAGAGATGCTTAATTCGGGCCTTGTTCTGAGCGACGGAAAAGGCTCCGGGGACGGGAGAGGGCGTTGCCGCGTGGCAGGGCTGGCCCCAGTCCCGGCAGCGCCGCCAGGCCAGGCTCTGTCTGCATCCTCTGCCTCCGCCCCGCCCCACGCCGACCGACGAGTGAAGCTCGCGCCTGCTCTAATTAAAGGCACCCTCGGGCCTCCCTGCGGCCTGGAACCCGCGGCTTTCACTCCGCTCACCTAAGCAGCAGCCAGGAAGGGCGTGGCTTCCAGAAAGGGGGAGTGGCTTTCCAGAAAGGGGTGTGGCCGCAGGAGGGGCGTGGCCAAGTAAGTGGAGGAGCGCTGAGCCCCTCCCATCCCCCCGCCCCGGCACCACCGCCCCCACGCGCACACAGCTTCAAACAAGACCGCTCCGTTCTCACGTGCCTCACACTTTGGGCACCTGCATACGATTTCAGCTTCCACTTCTAAAACCCTGAAAGCCACGTCTCTGGACCTTCTGGTTTGGTTTTGGGAAACTGCCCTCGGCCCTCGCCGACCTGCCTGCCTTTCTCCCTCCACGGCGTGAGCCCGCTGCTCAGTCTCAAAGTTAGGAAGGCAGGCTTTTCCAGAACAGTCGATCTGTGTTTACTCGCACTGGGGTCCTGAAGCCAGCCCGCCTCCTCCTTAATCTGGCCGCTTAGAAGCTTAGAACCCGAGGTGCTCCCACCTCTGCTGGTAGGTGCCTCTGCGTGTTCTTGCCTGTTACGTTGCTGTGGTAAAATGCATACGTTTCCTTTCTTGGATTTCCTCAGTTATTCACTTTTACGTCGTTCGCATTTGTACATTTACTCGTTCTGGGGACAGAGGGACATGCAACTACAGCTCGGGGCCCTGCCCTTAGGAGCTTGCAGGGTCATAAACAAGTCCCGCATTATCTGGCCGTTGAGGGGAACCTGCAGCTGGGACGCGGGGAGCGGGGGCGGGGTGGGGGGGGAGGGCGGCGCGGGAGGGGAGGGAGGCGCAGTCCGCGGGGAGCCAAGGCCTGCGCCAGCCAGCGGGGCGCCCAGGCCTAAGTGGGGCCGGAGAGGCGATGGCGACGGGTCTTCAGTCAGAAAGCAACCAGGTGACGTGTGCAGGGGCTTCATTCAGGACAGTGACACGGTCACATCCCCAGCTGGAAAACATTCTCCCAGTAGATGAACGGCAGGCAGGAGGCCGTTACCACGGTGCAGCCACGGCCCTGGAGGTGCGAGAGGGAAGCGTGCACGTCCGAGTCCGAAAGGTGCAGGAGGAAATGCTGGTGGCCTCGCAGACGACTGGGTGGGAGGTGCACCTGCAAGGCCCTTGAGACTGAGACAGGGGGTGCCAGCAGAGGCCACTGGCTTGGGCCAGACGTGTGGCATCTCAGGCAGCTTAGGGACTGTAAGGGACTGTGAGGTGGGAGCTGTATCCAGGAGCCTAAATCTTGAAGACTTTGGGGTTGGTGTCCAACCAAGCGGCCACGCAGGTGGACCTCAGAGCCATGGGCCCTGGGTGGAGGGCCAGCCTGTGTGTTAGAGCATGAAGTTCAGATGGGCTGGCGTAGCTTCAGGTGTGGATGTGGGTGGTGACTCTGCCGGGGAGGGGGGTCCCATTGCATGGCCGTCCTCCCTCCCCTCTGCCCTCCCTCTCAGTCGGAGCCAAGGTCAACTAAGGGGAGCGAGGGGCGGGAGGGCACAGCCGGGCTTGTGTGGGGAAGGCTGGGGTCCTCGCTGTGGAGAGCAGAGTGCGTCTGAGCAGAGAAACCCAGTAGGCAGAGTCGGGCCCATTAAGGTTAGTGATCAGGAATTTATTTATAAGATCTAATACCCGTGATGTGATTCATTCTTTCGTGTTGAATGAATTTTTGAAAATAATCTCAATTTTTGTGTAGTGCGTGGCATGGGGTGGTGGGGGGAAGGGGAAAGGAATGGGAATTTGGGGAGAACACAGAGAGTAAGAGGGTGAGCACAGGAGGAGTGGGGTGGACCGACTCAGGGTAGCTGCGGACAGAGGCAGAGCCGGGCCAGGAGAAGGCAGCCACGTCAGGAGGGAGACAGCGCAGCCTCTGAGGAGAGAGTCACGCTCCCCGCGAGCTGGACCCGGACGACCAGCGTCCTGGTCCGGGAGGCGAGAGGAGGGCATGCGGGCAGAAGGATTCGCCATGCGAAGGCATCAAGGCAGGAGCAGCGTGTTGGGGAGCAGCCAGATCCCAGGGCACAGGCCGTGGGTGGATGGGGCAGGACGGGGCTCTCGGGCGTGCTGAGGCAAGTGGAAGCAAGCCCACACGGGGGTGGGTGATGTTTAACTTCCTTTAGGCACTTTTCAGAGACACAGGTCATCGGGGAGGCTGGGTGAGGGTGAGAACAACGGCAAGAGGTATGGGGAGGCCTCCGCCAAGGCTCTGGTGCTTGCTCGGCTGGGTTTTAGGGACTGGTTCTTTTAGGTTTGGCTTTGTAATAGTTACTGATTACAGATTATTGGAGAGTCAAACTCCGCCACCCAGTTTCATTGGGGTCATCACAGGGACATCACGTGCGAAGATCTGGCCAAGCCCCATTCTGTAAAATGAGCGCGGAGTCACTCCCCAAGAACAGACAGGCCTCTTTCTGTCCCAGACATGGAGAGACACTGCAAAGCCTGGACTCCGGGGGCTGCTGGGAGGAGGGGAGCCTGCTCACAGCTCGTTCGCTGCACTCCAGGGAGGGGTCCGGCGCCTCTGACGAGGACCACGCAGACCTCCCGCGTGGGCTCGCTTGCCTCTGCGCTGTCTCTGGGCTCTTTCTGACGCCTCCTGCAGCAAGCTGCTCCCTGCGGGGGCAGGACATTCCCCTTATCTTGTCCTTCGGTTACTTGTCCCACTTTTCTCTTTCAGAGGGCCGCTGCCAAGGCGACAAGTCAATGTTCTGTAGGATGGAAGTCCTGTCTCGCTATTGCTCCATCCCAGACTACAACAAGCTGTGCTGCAAGTCCTGTAACCTGCACAACAACCTCACCGGTGTGGACGACAGGGCCGAGCCGCCCCCCGGAAAGTACAATGACATTGAAGAGCTCACACCCACCCTCCCAATCCCCACCCTCATCACGGAGGCGCAGCCTCTGCCCAGCGCGCCCCAGGAGGTGCCCGTCAACGCCTCCAGCACCAACACCACTAAGGATCACCCAGAAACCAATGCTGTGGACGTGCCCTACAATATCAGCGGCCTGGACAATGAGGTCCAGCCACCCAACCTGATCCCCCGACGGCCGAGCCCATACGAGAAGACCAAAAACCAAAGAATCCAAGAGCTGATTGATGAGATGCGGAAGAAAGAGATGCTCGGGTAGTTCTAATAAAATGGAAAGGCATCAGCAGTAGCATTTTTTTCTTGCTTATAGAGATATTCCATGGGATGGCAAAGCCTATGTCATGGCGGTGAGTTCAAAATTCCTGAGTCCAAAAAGTGTTCAGGGGACAGAGGGAGAATGGCAGGAGAAGGTGCATGTTCACGTATGTGGCTGCGAGCACATGGCAGCGGGTGTCCGAGCCCTGGAGCGGGCCAGGCCCGGGACAGGAGCGTGGCTCTGCAGCCTTCCTCCGCCAGGGCAGCGGGCGGGCGGGCTGCCTGCACAGACAGAGGGCATTTGCTCCTGAGCAGTAACTGGGGATCTGCCTTTCCTTGGGGGTGACACTTCCTTCCGATCCCTACGCCTGGACACGAGCCCCATGGGGACTCTGGAGAAACAGTGACTTGTTCACAAAACTGACCAGTCACTGAAATGAGCTCAGTGAGGTAAAGGCAGTGACCTCCAGGGCCTTCAAGGGCAGGCAGGTAGCAAGGGTGGCGAGGGTGGTGTGGGGACCTGGACCAACCTGAGAGCCACTGGGGGGCAGTGGCTCCGCGTCCCTGCCCCTCCAGACAGCACGCTTTTTCACTGGTGGTCTAGATTTCTGTGTGAACACTCTCAGCCCCTAAAGGACAGTCCAATGTGCTTTAAGGAGGCCTAAGTCTGTTAGGGTCTGGAGCTGCCCCTTGCCAAGTAAAGACTCAGGGCAGCTCTCCGACCCATTTGGTGCTCACCGGCTACACTTGAGCACCTCAGCCGTGTCCGAGCTGTGAGGCCGCCCACTTCTTCGCAGGAAAGCACAGAGAATCCTGGAGCAAGGGCTCGAGGGTCAATCTAAACAGCGGGCCACGTTTGCTGCGGGAAAAGCCAGCGGGCCACCCTCCCGTGTCCCCTCTCCACGAACCCTGGCTTTCCTGGCCCCTGCAGCCAGCCTGGCCTGAGCCCCCGCTGCCTGGAGAGCCCCCTTGCTGAGGGCGGGGGACGGGGAGAGGCAGGCAGCGGTGCTGCAAAGCCCAGGGAGGGGCCGAGGCCCTGCTCTCCCGAAGCGTGGCAGTGCTGCCCCCAGGTGGTTGTGCCGGGTGTCATGCCCCAGGGACATGTGGTGGGGCTTCGGGGCTTGGGTTTGCTTCTGAGACCAGCCTCACTTATGAGGGGATGGACTTGCGCTGTGGAGCCCCCGAAGCCCCCAGTCCTGCCCCCGTTTCCGCCCCTGAGGAGCTGCAGCAGGGAGCTGCAGTATTCATCCTCTGGCGGCAGGCCCTGCGCGGCCGGTGGGCGGAGCCGGCTATACCTTTTGCTCTTTCCAAACTTTAACAACTATTTTCAGTAGAATGGTGCTTTGTAAGCAAGATGTGAATGGAGGAGAAATAAGGAAGGAGTGGTGGGATGGCTGGGAGGACAATGGCTCATTGTTACCTCTCTCTGCCTTGCTACCAACACGCACCTTCAACTCCCCTGAGCTATCAGACCTGGCGCACACTAGCTCCTCAGCAGACCTTGACGCATAATCAGCAGGCTTTTCATATCCATGAAAGTTCTAGAGCCTTTTTATAGTTGCCACTCAGAGATCTTAGAGAACTCTTTCTTGTTTAAGACCCCGTTATATACATGGATGAGAACGCCCAGGCGCAGGATGGCCCCACGCTGGCTGCTTTGTCCTGCGACGTGAGGCGTCCCGTCTGAGTCTGCGCATGTGTGTGGCGTGCCTGTGTGTGTGGCCCGAAGCACAAAGAAAGGGTGAGGCGGTAGTGAGAGCCATAGCTGGGAGGAGGCGCGCCCGTCCAACCGGGCGATGCCCAGCCTCCGCCGTCCCAGGGCAGCCGGCCCCCCGCCCCTCCCCTCCCGCCCCTCAACATCCCACAGGTACTCACACGCGTTCCGGTGTCTAAAGGAGCATGTTGGCTCCTAAGACCCAAACTGGAGAAAACGTTTGGAACATCTCTCGTAGTATCCCTTCTCCTTCAGTAAGATGTGGGCTAAAGCACTTTTGCAGTCCTGTCGCTGAATCGGAAGTGGGCCCTCTGCTTCCAGCGGTTGAACCCCTGGCAGCTGGTGCTCTTCACGGCCTGAAGCACCGGGCAGCTCTTGCTAGGTCTGTCCTGGAATGGAAGGAAGTTTGGGGTCACAAACCCCGGCCCGGGGCCTCCGTGCGGGGCCCCTCCGTCCTCAGATCCCAGCAAAGCAGGACGCATGGCTCTGGGCTGGGCCTCTTGGGGCAGAGGCCGCAGGTGGGGCATTGCCCAGGGCACCTCTTTTGCTGGGGGGAGAGAGGTGCCCTCTGGAAGGAGCAGGCCAGCATGGCCGGGCCCGCATGCCAGATTCAGTGCCTCCGACCGTGTACTCGGAGCTCTCCGGAACTGGGCGGCTCTCAGAGGCCTCGCTCCCCAAGGATCACGGTGTTCACCCAGCTCTGAGAAGCTGCCCGTCTCCGCCGAGCTTGGGACAATAGAGAGCAAGCGTAGCCACAGTCCTGAACTTCCCAGTCCAGCGTCTATCCCTGTGTTTGGGGCTCCTGCCCCCCAGGGGAGGCCAAGCAGTTTTTCCTGCTGAGGTTAGTACCACCGTGTGGGACTTGGCCGTCCTCTGTCCTCAGTTCTAAAAAACCAGCCGAGGGACCCAAGGGTCCCTTTATGTTCATGGGAGGCTTGTGCTGGAGTTTTGGGACCTGGTTCTCTGATACACTCCCTTTGGAAAACTCCTGGAATTTCACATATAGACATTTCACTTGTATTTTAAGGTTTTTGCTCGTTTTTTGTCTTTGCTCGGAGTAGGGGAATGGTGCTCAATAGGCCAGCCTATCAGAGGGAGCACGTGACTGCCTTCTCCTGGGCCGGGCCGCCGCCCCAGGGGCTGACACGGCGCCGAACCCCAATCGCCTCTCGTCGAACTCTTGGTTTCTATATGGTAAAATTTGGTTCCTTGATTTTATAACGTATTAAAGTCAAAACGTCTGTGGTTTTGCACATCGTGACTGCGTTTGTTTCTTACCTCGACTGCACTTGTCCCCCCTTCCCAGCCTGAGCTTGAGCGGACGGAAGGGTGCGCTGCCCTCAGAAAGCCACGAGGCGGGGGATGGGCCACCGGGGGCCCTGAGCCAGGGCCCTGTGAAGGGCGGGCGGCGCCCCAAGGGGCCCCTCTCTCGCTGCCATGGAGTTGGCTCTCCGGGCGCCGTGACTCAGCCACAGTCCCCGGGAAACCGTTCTTTCAGACGGGAGGGGAGGCAGCAGACGCCTCTTTCTCCCTTCTCTGCTGTGGTGAGGGCTTCCAGAAAAACACTAGAAGCTGAGTTAAACTTGAATTTCAGAGAAGTCACCAATGATTTTTTAGTGGAAGTATGTTCCATTTTTATACTAAAAAGTTTTCCATCGTTTCTCTGAAATTCAAATATGACTTGAGAATCCCATATCTGTATTTGCTAAATTTGGTAGCCCTCCCTATAAAAGATGGGCCCTCTGGCCCTCTTTGACGCGGCAGGTGTGGGGGGAGGGAGGCTGGAGGGTGCGGGGGAGACTGCTCCTGCTGGCCCGCCAAGGGGGAGGCCGGCCACCGGGGCTGGAGGGGGCGTCGGAAATCATTCCCGTCTGGACAGGCGCTGCGGGTGTCTTTGGAATGCACGGGATTTCGTGTCTCGATGCTCACTGCAATTTATGTAGACTGCGTGTTTCTGGTACGTTAGTCCTTTATAACAGGGAGGAGGAGGCGTGTGAATGTGTGTATTTGCAGCGGGACAGGAAGTTCAGTTGCGTAAGCAGAACTCGCGGAGACGAAGTACTCGCAAAGGTTATGCATAACCAGAGAGCCCGGAGAGCTTCCTCTGGAGAGCCGGTCTGGGTTACAGGGGACGTAGTAAGGAAACCCAGTGTGTACTTTGGACGACATGGGCAGATGGTAAGAGGAGCCAAATGATGTGACTGCCGAGGTTCCAGCCACCGCCCCCTCCTCTGCCCCCGTGTAAGTCCCTGACTCCCCGGCACAGAGCAGCCCCGCCACCGTCACACCCAACGGCCCACACCCCAGCCCAGGGGAACACACTGAAGCCCATTCTCAGAGGCCGCGTGGCCAGTGCTCCTGTACCTCACGGCCCCACACAGCTGTTTCTTCATTCTTGTGATGTTACTCGTGAGCCACACCCCCATGATTTTGCACCCAAACACTTGTATGCACACCCCAAATCATGCAGGTCCTAGGGGGTCTTCACTTACGCCCTCAACTCTGCTATGTATGAGCTTTCACACCAATTCGTGACCAAGTGGAGACTGGACAAGTAGCACCCAGGAAGTGCTGGCCCATCAGAGCAGACTGCTGCACGCTCCCTGGGGGGCTGCCCCAACATGGGCCAACCTCAAGCCCACACAGAAGTACACAGGACAGGGTGTGACAGCCCCGTGGCGCACAGAAGCCATCATGCTTTAGTGTGTCAGTGCTTTCGTTCAGCCAACGTTCTTCTAGCATCTCTAGGTGAGCACTTAGGTGAACACTTAGATCATTGATTCTGAAAAGCCATTCTTTTTATTTTTTTAAAGATTTTACTTATTTTTTTAGAGAGGAGAAGGGAGGGAGAAAGAGAGGGAGAGAAACATCAATGGGTGGTTGTCTCCCTCACGCCCCTTATAGGGGACTGGGCCGCAACCCAGGCACATGCCCTGACAGGGAATTGAACCGATGACCCTTTGGTTCACAGTCCAGCACTCAATCCACAGAGCCACACCAGCCAGGGTTCAAGCATTCTTTTAATTCTATGCATTTATGGCTATAAATTTCCCTCTAAGCACTGCTTTAGCTGTACTCTCAAAAATGTGATGTTCATACATTTATTATCATTCCATTCCAAACATTTTCTTATTTTTGTTCTGACTTCCTCTTTGACCTGTTGGTTATTTTAAAGCATGTCACTTAATTTCCAAACATCAAGGGATTTTTCTAGTTATGGAATAATTACAGAAAATTGCAGATTTCCAGCTTATTTTATTTTGGTCAGAGAACATTTTCAGGAAGATTTC